AACTCTTCTCTTGGGCTGGTGACTTTCCTCCCTTCCTCAGAATTTCCTGACCAGGTTCATATTCCCAGAGCCCATGGGAAATGCTAGGTTTCTAGTACTAGCATTTGGAGGAACTGAGACATGTTTCATGTTTTGCCTGTGTCATACAGTGAGGTATTTGGGATAAAGTCTGTATCAAAGATGCTGTGCAAGGCAAGGCTGAGCAATTTTAAAAAATGTGCATCTTTTACTTTGCACTTCTGAGTATGACTTACTATGCAAATGACTGATTGTTGCCTCCAAGGTTATCTTTTGGTTTTGTTCTTTTTGCAATTTACCTGAAATTAAAACAAACAAACAAACAAAAGTTGATGCAAAACTTTCTGTATCTTTTACACAAGTAAGAGAAATTTGGCTTTCTCCAAATTTGCGAAGTGGAATGAACATTGTTGGGAGGCATACTGAACTTTCATCTCTCAAGAAACATAATTTTTAGATGTTAACTGCACTTATGGTAGCTTCTTTTTGCACTTCTTATATTCTATTATTTATTTTAAGTACATTTGAGTGAGACTTTGCTATGTTATGAAAATAAGACTGTCATCCATTTACTGTTCATTAATCCTGAATTTAAGAATTTAAAATCATGTGAAGTATGTGTGAATTTCATTGCCTCTATCTGAAATGGCACATTAAGTCACTATCAGCATTTATTTATACACTGATAATATCTATCACTGTGCAACACCTCAAATAGTAATGGCTTCTGCCTCACCACCCATGTGAGAGTGGGCTTGCATTATTGCTGTTTGATAGATTTGCCAAAGGATGCAGAAGTCTTCATCGAAGCTGAGGGATCTTTTGAGTTTTTTCAGGTCTCTCATTACATCCTTTCTTCTAGAAGAGTCATGCAACTTCTCTGAAACTCCTTTAATCTAGCTGGAAACTATTTACTCTAGGAGCAGTTTGGAAAATAGAGACTCTTTCTGCAAGCTGAGATGTGCAATGTATTTAAATAAAGATTCTTTTGTGTGTAGGTGCGCTCGGCTTTAAGAACTTGTTTTTTGAAAGTATTTTCTTTCAAGATGTATCTGCCATTCATTTGGAGGAGTGACCCTCCTATTCCCTCTCCACATGATACCTTCTATTACACTGATGTGTTCAGCTTTAAGCTTGTTGTCCTCTTGCAAGACGCTGATTCTCAGGCGGAGTTCTGCATGTTCGTTTTCCAGGTTTCGCAAGGCCAAGTGAAGCTGTTCGTTCTGTGTGTCTGCCTGCTGAATGTGAGAAGAGCCACAACATCAGGACTGCATGTAAGTGGTTTATAAATGAACAATTTGGAAAAACATGTGATGTGCGCCTGCCTGCTTTACAGAAACGAAAGGGAGCTGTGAGCTGAAAATCAGGCTGTGCTAACAGCAGTGCTTCATCAAATGTGGTTTTTTGAGGTAATCTAAACCTGTGTGCTTTCTCTATTTGCAAATCAGAAAATGTGGATTCCTGTGGGCAATGGATACTATCCCGATACTATCCCTACAAGAGAACTAACATACTTGCAGTTTGCTTTGCAAAATGTGGAGATTGTTCTTGAGCTCAGTATGTGCCTTGGTCATCTCAGTCCATTCAGCCTTCAGCGTGTTGTAGTGCTCTTTCCAGAGGGCACAGTCTTCTTTTGTAACTGCCAGGGATCTCTAGGGAAGAAAGTGAATACCTGCAGGTTAGCTTCCTAAGTGTGGGGCTGATGGCAGCAACCTATGTTGAAATAGCAGTGGGAAAGAACTAGAGTGGTTGGCTGAATTTGGTATAGCTCTGTGTGCAGTCACTGTATGGGGTGGAGGGAGGGGAAACCCATTCATTTTAGCTTAGCTCGTGTCTGTAAGCATGGTGCCAGACTGGGGGAGAAAGCGGTGGGAGGTCAGCTCTCTGCATCTTATTATAAAAAGGATTATAATGACTTGCTTTATGTAACAAGGGAATGTATGTGAATGTGATGCCACCTGATGGACAGCCTGAAAACAGGCGGAAGGGTTTTACTGTGACAGCTGGGTTGCTCATGCAGAGGCGAGAGTAACTACTGCAGGTTTACTGGAGGGCATTACCTGAACTTTTGTGCCTCTGTGGATTTAGACGTCTGGTAATATTAGCATTCCACATAGGATATGATTTATTTACATAGGATATGATTTATTTATTGTTCTGAAAATAACAATTGGCAATTTATTTTGACCCATAGGATGCCTTTTGCAGAAAATATGTTTTGATCTAAAAGAGCCACCTCAGAAAAAGCATCTGTAGAGATCTTTTTGTGCACTTGATGTATTTGTAGCTTGTTACTTGTGCATGCATGTGGGGAGGAGGGAAAGGGACTTGAGGGATCATGGAGAAGAAGGATTACATATAAAACTGCCAAACAGCAGTATATTTCCCCAGCTATGCAATATTTTTAATAACCCAGTGTGTGGCTCACAAAATGAGCACAGGTTATCTAATGTATCCCAAAGCAGTTTACCACTAAGGGGATAACGCTTGAGGCTTTGCTCAGTAACTAAAATGTTATTTTTGTATATTTGTTGCTAATGGTAAACTAGTAACCTCCTTTCACTGAAACGAGGGGGCTTTTTGTCACAGTAAAACTAGACTGAAGCAAAACCAGATGTAAGATGTTTCTTACCTGAGAGTTTTGCAGCTGCTGTTCTACTTGGAGTTTGTCCTCGAGCATTTTCTGAAGAGCCTCTTTTGCCTTCTGCTCATAGGTCTGCTTTTGGTCCTCCATCTCTATGAGGATCTTCTTGACGCGCTCCTTTGAGTAGCTCTTTAAATTAAGAATTAAACTGCTTGAAGGGTCTTATCTGACATATTCCTCGTCTTGCTAAACCTGAATATTGGCAAATCCACAGTGTGTAAATGCTACTACTAATTGCTGTGAAGCATTGCTTCAGCAAAGAGGAAAAGTAGTTTTCAGATCCATATCTAATCAAATTCCTCTAGAAACTGAGACCCAACCTACTTGCATAATTCATGAAAATTTCATTTTCATCCATTTCTTAATCCATGTTTGGTTCTAACAGAGTCAAATAGATTACCTGAGTGCAGGCCTGCAGTTGATTTTCAAGTGCCCTAAGTTTACACTTCAGTTTTTCTTCATTTAGCTGACCCTAGAGGAGACAAAACAATTGGACCAGTGTGTGGAATCATGACTTGCACAATATTTCTCTTTGAAGATACAGTATTTTGTTGACTTGTGTTTTGATGCACTTTCTGCTTTTTATATGAAATTATAGCTAAATTTGATCAAAATGTTTTCAACACTTAAATTTCAAATAAGCTTTTCGCAATTTCAGAATAAATAGGATATGGGGGAAGTAAAACTCTTACATATTGAAAAACTCTCTTGAGGCAGTTCTGCCAGTTACAGGAGTGCGGGTACTTGCACTGAAATGAGAAGTTAATAGCAAGGTGATTTTAAGTTAGTCTGGATGAATCTATTATAAGCATCGCTGCTGTCTTGTTTCCCGGTTGATAGTCATTCCTCCCTGCAACATTCTTTGCTTAAAGCTCCAGCTGGTGGTAATGCGTTGTCTTACTGGTTTCTTTAGAAAATAGGTTGGGTTTGCATTGCAACATCTTGCAGCTGGGCAGGGGGATAGAGGGTAACAATGATGATTCGTTTTTCCTGCTATAATCTTTCCTCAGAGTTAGTTAGGCTTTTTACTTAAGTTTTGTGAAACCACACTTGCATGCAAATTCAGATAAAATTTCTAGCAAAGAGTTCACATAGGCATTTTCTCCACTACTGATACTGAGAATGCCAGTATCACCTTTTCTTGCTGCTGTTTGTAGTCAAGCCTCTGAATAAGCAACTCCTTGAAGTTATAGGAATGGTTGTTAGACTTAAGCAAAACCAGATTCTCTAGTGTCTTGGCACTGTTTACATTTGCACAGAGGTAAATTTACAGTCTGAAAGAGTCGATCTCTTGAGTTCAGTTGTTGGTTCAACTTAAGGAAAAAAAACAAAGGCTATATCTTCTTAAAATGGAGGTGGAATTTAAAAAAAATTGTGTAATATATTATGTCTAATTTTTGTCTGCAGTTCATTTTATTCTGCTATTTGCAAAGGTTCATATCAAGAGGGTAGTAGTGTTTTATAGCCATTCTGCACAGATGTAAATGACTGTGCAAAGTGCACAGCAACAGAGCAAAGTACACGGCAACAGATATAAATGACTGTGCAAAGTGCACGGCACCAGAGCACCAAGCCCTTCCTATGTTTGAGAGCAGAAATGTGCTGGCAAACTTATAGCAACTTATAAATTGGAAAAAGAGCATACAGCATAAAGATTTCCCTAAATGGAATAAGTTACCCGGTAGGGCTTTTACCAGAACAGCTGTGTCAGTGAGGGGTGAGTTTACATGCATATATGTGGGAGGGCATAAGAAACTATGTCTCTGACCAGAAAAGTTATGCTAGGAAATCTTGATCCAGCCCTCCTGTTAATTGTTGTTCCCTTGAAAGGGGCTGGTAAGAAAATACCGTGCCTACAGCTACCATTATATAGTGGTCTCTTCCCCCCGCCCCCCAACTTCTGCACTGTCTCAGGTGACAGCTGTATTTTGAACACTACTTGTGGATTCTTGCACTAAGCCCTAACAGACAGCCTGAATATTTCTTCTGACAGGATTTCAGGAGCTTGTATTAGGGTTAACACATTCCAAATATGCCCCTTCTTGCATATCTCCCTCTAAAGAGTTACTGGAATGAGGAGCTCTAAAATCTTTGGCTGAAAACTCACTTCTCTGCTGCATTTCTCTACAGCTGTCAGTGAAGTGACGTATGAGTGTTTTAAAACTGCTTTTGGCTGGCAGCTGTAGTGTTCTGGTTGTCCAATGATTGGTAGATTGTCTCCGATACTCTTGCCTCTTAGTCATTTTAAATAGCTGGTTTAAAGCAACAATATTAAGTGCTGTTTTTGGAATGCTTTCAGTTTGCCCAAACACAATGCTTGTCCTAGAAAAAAGGGTCCAGAAAGTAGTAGCAACGCACTGGAAATGACAGAAAAACCTCTGCAGGATTGTAAGGTACATCAAAAGATCAGGGTCAACTTCAGAGGCCAGGAAGGCGAAAAATTGCAATTTCATTCTTTAGGAATGAGTGCAGCTCAAAACTAATTACTCATTATTAAGAGATTTATTTAGCTTTCTTCATCTGACAGTTTCAGTATTTTTGAATCAACACATACCTAACCAAGTTCTACAACAGCTAGGGGAGCCAGACCTCTGGTATGTAGGTGTCTTTAGCTAGAAGTTAAACAGTGGGAGGGGGAAGGAACCAAAGGATTTACTCTTCAGTTGAACTACACTCCCGTTCTCCTAAAGAGTATTCATTTGCTCCATCAAGCCAGAAGAACCCAGGAACACAAGAAGCAGACTCCCCAAAATGACTCTGGCCAATTTATGAGTTATTGCCAAGTCATTCATGTATATGCAATCGTGCTTCTTAATCCTTTCCAATGTTTTGGGGTTTAATATTGCTGCTCCAATATTTAGCATCTCACCTAGGCCTGGAAATGGATAACTGGCAGGTGCACAGCGCATGGCATAGGATCTCTCTGTACCCTTGTTTGCCAGCATCTCCTGAGGAGTTTGCTAGCCCCTTTTCCCCTCCAGCCTGCCTCCCTTGCTATGGGCTCTAGGTGCTCCCAAAGGATCACTTCTCGGTATGTAGCTTCTGCTTTGTTTGCCTTGTTGGCTACAATGCCAGCAGCAAGTTAATTTTTAGTCTCTGATGAAAGGTTGAATGTAGAGGCGGCAGCAAAGTCTTTTCTATAGCAGAGATAGCAAGAAGCAAAATGTACCCACCTGTTTCTAATCTGAGGTTTCATGGCTACTTTCTGCAGTGTGTATGTGTCAGTGTTTTTTCCTGCTCATATTATATTTGAAGAAGCAAGCGAAGGCGGAAGTTTCTAACCACAGTATATCTAACACAACTTTTTTTACACGGTCTTACCCAATCATTTGCTCCTCAGCCCCAGCAGAACTTTCAAACCATTTTTTTCTTTAGTACTGTCAATTTGTTATGGCACAATGAAATGTATGTTAATATTTGATTTTAATATTTTTATATAAAATATTTTGTCACCATAAAATGAGTTGTAAAGTGCATCGCCTTAATTTCATCTCCTGATCTCTAGTAACAAATGGGTCCTGGGTCAGCGCTGACCAGAGGATTTAGTTTGAGCTGTGGGAAATAGTGAGATATGTATATAGGGCCATGATTCGGCAGTGCATTTACGGTTAAGTAGGTGTTCAAGAGCTCTGCAGTATTGGGTCCTTTGACTTGTGTCTGGGACTGAAAATATGTCTCACAAAGGAACTGAGGTAGAGGATGTCTCTGCTGTTCTTTGTCAGCTGCAAACTAAGTAACATGGAGCATGTTAGAAAGGTTAGGGTTTCTTTGGTTGTGTTCTCAGTTTAAAAAAAAAAAAAAATTTTTTTGCTGTGCCCTCTCCCCAACCTATGCAACGTTTCATGTGCATCTAAACTTTTTATTTTGGCCAAAAAATCACTTCGACAAAATATATGGAATTTGTCTTGACTGAGGCAGAAAAGATGGTGGAAGATGGTTGTTTGGGTTCAGTCCAATCTCTTCTGCTTATATACTTCCATTTGTTCTTTATTTAAGAAAAACTGTAAAAAGCAAGTATAGGAAACCCAAAACCTTAAAGAAGAAAAGAGGGGAGCAAAAGATTATACTCCCTGTTAATCGGAAAGAAAAATAAATCTGGTAACAAACTTTTCATCAAACAGGGGGATAAAAATGAAAAAAAATCAAGCAAAGTAAAACCTTAACTTCTTTCTGAGTTTGTATTCAACCAGCCCTAAAAAGAAAGATGACTGAAAGGAAAGAGAAAAGGTAAAGTAGTGCTCCACCCCACCCAGGTAAACAGTTCTGCTGACATTTTATCTTCTAGCGAATAGAGTTGAATTTTAGGCCTGTGACATCTGCAAGGCCCTGAAGTGTTAAGATTGGGCAGAGCTAGAATTTAGCTACTGGAAATAAAATGAGACATGTGGGATCTTTTTGCTTCTGTACATAAGCCAGGCCCTGCCAAGGCAGAATCTCAAACTGCCTTGCTCACCAGCTGGATTTTCTTAGTGTAGTCATCTGGTACCTGCCAGGATTTTTCTGATGCTTGCAGCAATGTGGAGAAAAGCTCCTGCAAAATCACCATCTTCTGCTTCAGCAGCAGCTCCCGATGCAGTGCCTCCTGCAGATGAAATAGGAAAGCTTGTTTTTTTTTGTAGGTGCCTCATGTCTGATTCGGTACCTAGAGTTGACCAGATTCATTCTTACAACTCATGATTAGTGTTTTCACAATTTTGCTTGTTTGAGATGGGTCCTTGGCTTCAGTAGCGGTTTCAACAGCTTATCTATGTGTTTTCTTGGCCACATTAAAATTAGGCACAAAGCACCCATTCATTAACAAAAACGACAAAACACATTCATATAATTTTTTATCACCTACTTTCTAGGTAGGTGCTTATAATATTTGATACATACCTTCAGGTAGTTGGAAAGTTGCACTATTTCCTGAAAGGGAAAGGAAAGGTGTTTGAAAACTATAAGATCATCTGGTGTAACCATTTTATAAACTGGCTACATTTCAAACATTTTGAAATAAATTGAAATTGACAGCATGAGTTTGTTTAGTATGCAATAGATTAGAATCATAAAATACCGTGGATTTTTGTTGGTTGGTTGGTTGTTTTTTTTTTCCCAGGGCAATTAAACTATGTTCTGTAACTCCTTACGCTGTTGGAGTTATGCCAACCTTGTAATATAGTATATCAAATCAGGGCAGTTATTGCAAAAAAAAAAAAAAAAAAATTGATACCTCTGAAACAAAGTGCTTTTCTTTACCACAGTAACAGTTTCTTCGCAAACAAAAGCTGCAGAAATTTGGCACCAATCAGTGTTTCAGTCGGAAATCTGAGAAACAAATCTTACTCTTTTTCGGGAATTTAAGAATAGTTATTATCCATGTGTTTAGCTTACCTTATTTAAAACTGCTATTCCGCAACTACAATAAAAAAGAATGTCTGTTACTAAGATGAATGTGATACAGACTTCCAAATCAGTCCATAGCTGTAAATATTAACTTCTACCCGTCATCCAAAGGAGACTGTGAATATTTGTGCAGCTAAAGCTTATGCTAACATGAAATATATAGAGACCTCTTCATCTAAGGTCAGTGGCTTACAGGTATCTGAATTCACAGTCTGGAAAAGGAGAGTACAGGCTTACTCTGTCTGTTGGCTTGAGTCTTTCGTTTTTGCACTTGAATTTGTAAGTGTCTGAGTTCCTGTGAAAAGAAAACAAAAGGATGTGGGCCTGATTCCCTCCGCCCAAGGGATCAATAAATATTTTTCTGCTTGAGCACACATCTAAACCATCTCAGCAATGATGTCACTTCTGGATTGGAGAAGAGTTGCTTAAATGGCATCTAGTAACACAACTGAATAGGGACAAAGAGCAAGGAAAAATCCCATGCTCAGATGACAAGAAAAATGTAAATTAAGTAATTCTGCAGATTAATTCTAGCCCACAACCCTACCAAATAATCTATGGAATTCACAAGGAAACAATAGCGCAAAATGTTGCTCGGGAGCCCTATTTTATCCAACAGCAGAATGTGTTAAGCTGTGGGCTGGATTGGTTTGTGCCTCCACAGGAAGAATAATCTTAAAACCTGTAGTTTGAAGGGGAGACAAATTCAGACTAGGATGATGAAAACTTAGTGATAGGTATGGTGCTGCTAGCCAAGGAGTTAGTGTTAGAGGAAAACCTACCCTAGAACTTGAAAAATGAGTCTTCTAGTGGTGCCAAACGAATGATCCTGTGTCAGCAGACAGGAACTTTCTGTGCCTAAACCTAAAGAAGTCAACTGAGACTCGGAGGTGGAAGGGAAGCACTGTGGTTCTGGTTTTGTTTTGAAAGACAAGTGCTGGTAAGGCAGACTTTCTTTCACGTACCTTGGGTATCTGTGGAGATGCCTTTGCTAGGGGTGTTTTCTGATGAAACAGTGCAGGAGCACAGGCTGCCCAGCCTGAGGGGGGTGCTGAGCCCAAGCTGGTGGTGCGCATGTGGGAACACACAGCAGCTCCATGGGTGCTGAAATGATACGGCAGATTGTGTGAGTTTCTGGAACAGGCTGACAAGAAATGGGAGCAAATGGAGAGGAACTGGCTGTGACCGAGCTCAAGCTTTGCACCCTGGTCACCTGGAAACAGTATAGACTGAGCAGCATCAGTGGAGATGCAGGGAGAAGCCACAGCTATTTTCATGAGGATTTGTTACTTTGGCTAAAAAAATGTAGGGAAGCAAGGGGAAAACCTGCTAGCTCCTGAGGGAATATGAAATGCCCCAATCAAGATAAAGAAGCCAGTAGTGTCTCAAGTCCTTTTTGGAAAGGATGAGAACTTCTGGTGGCAGCGAGCTAGATCCTGGCTTGTGTTACTGCTCTGATTTGGTTGCCTTGGTGCAGAGGTATCTACTGTGCACTCGGTGGAGTTCTTCCTCTGCTTCTGGGGGGAATGGCATGCCTTTTCCTACCTACTCCCATGTCTCCCTACAGCCTCGTGCTGGTATGAGAGAAGAGCATGATGCTACTGCCACAGAAGCAACACGTAGAAGGCACCTCGCATGGGCCATATGCATGTAAATGCTTGCTTCAGATTCTTGCTGTCTGACATGTAATTAAACCTAGTGAATCAAGTGGTAGCAGGAGGTAAATAATTGTTCTCTGCCCTCTCATTCTTTGAAGGGAACTTTAGGGTATGCCATTTGCTTTTGTAGTCATCTTGCATTCTGCTGTCTCTGGTTGCTTATGTCAGTGAAGCCCCTAGGAGGAACTCCTTACATGCTGGGGAAATTATTCAATTTGCATGGGATATAAGTTTAGAAGAAAAGTCTGCCTGGCTATCAGGTTGGGATATTTTGTGTTGCATCTTTCCATAGATATTATTCAGTGCACTGGCTCTAGGTTACTATTTACTGTGCAGCAAAGAGCAGTGTGTAGTATGTAATGAGAACCAGACTGTATCCTAATTCCTGCATACTTTCTGCTGACAGTGAAGGTGATGGAAGCCTAATGTTTAGATCTCAGTTTTTAAGGGTAAAAATAACAATTTGTGTAAGTGTAAAATGGTAATCTGGCAATTAGGATGTTGGGGTGTACTTGGAGAAATGGCAGTAAGTCTTCATCTGGTTCAGGTTTATCAAGTTCAGGATTTGGAAAATGGGAGGAACACACTGGGAGTGATATGACCAAGAGTAAACTTGGTCAGCTCTGGAGTTCTTAAAGAAATGCGCATACTGCCAGTTCATTCTCAGTTTTTGTCTTTACTTTGATTTGGATCCCAGTGCTGTTGAAATCGGTGAAAAGACTCCTATTGCTTATGGTAGGCACTGCACAAAGTACATAGTGAGTAGCGTTACCTGGAATGGAGCTGCTGACCTCAGATGCACCAGTGACGAGGGATCTTGGGGGAAATGTGTCGCATTTGTTTGTCCTAGGGGATCTTGTGCTCCAGGGAGAGGTTTCCTTGGTTTCTTTCCTTCTTCAGTCACTAGGTTCCTTCTTCTCAGGAACTCTCTCTGACGGGGACTCTGGGACTGCTCCTCTGCTTCCTTTTTGTTATGTTTCCCAATGCTCCGGCATGTTGTCACATTGTTTCGCCTCCGCAAGTTCTCGCGTGTCTCATGCCGCCGCTCACACTTCTCATCATAGCTCTCGCTTGAGTGCCTATGTCGTTGTGGTGTCTTTTCAGGTTGGCTAATCATGTCAGCTACATAAACGTGCTAGTCTAGCCACCTTCTTGCCTGTCCACTTTGGGATGCTCCTTCCTAAGGAAACCGAAGAAAAAGACACAATTCAAGTGAAAATAATAATTATTTCTGAAAATAAATAAATGTGAGATATTTGTAGATGGCCACCAGTTCTGGAGTTCTTATCCAGTGGATAAAGCTGGTATTCGTGTAGAAATCTGTTGTCTGTGAATTCCTATGTATCAACTTCGTAAAACACATTCAGTGTTTTTTACCCCTCAATCACATGGATGCTAAACCAGGGAAATGCTTGGAACAGAAATCCAAAAACGATTAATTAACCTTATGAAGCTGGCTTCATATCCAAGCATTATTGCTTCCACTAGTTTTTTTGGGAGAACTGCTTTCTTGCTGAAATAAAATTCCTGTGTTATTCAAACTATTTATTTTTATTTTTTGTGCACACTGAACTTCATCACTGCTTCTGCTTACAGCCCTTTAGCTAACCTAAAGAAAACACAGGAAGAACAATGGCTACTGCTATTTCTGTAATGAAGTTTTTAAGTGTGCATTTATTTTGCCATTTTTTTTCTCAGTAAAAAAAAAAAGGTAAAAAAAATAGTAAATATAGGTTTGCTATTGTATAATTTACTTTTCAAGCAGTTGCATGTATTTCTTAGTGATGGTTGCCTTTTCTGTGTGCATAGAGGTCTGGAACACTGAAAACAGTGTTACAGAGATGTTTTTCAGTGGAACATCCAAAAAGGGCCCAAGAGATCTAAGCACCCAGTTTCTAAAAACCCTAGCTAGCCAGTGCTTCTTTCTTTTATCTCTGTGTTGCTCCCTCCCCTTCCCCAGTATTTTGGCTTAGATGGCTGCTAACTCTCAAGGCAACCTTTTCCACCCCCCTGTTCCTCCCATGATCTCCAAGGGAAAACCAGCAAATCCTTCTAAGCCCAGGGGAAAAAAATTAGAGCTTTGGCTGCATGCAGTGGAGTTCAAACTCTGCAAAAACACTTGTGAGACTGGCGAACCTCAAATCGCCAATCAAAGCACAAACATGTAATTCCTAACTCCAACTTTTGTTTAAAGTTGGACTACTTTCTGTTCTGCATCATATAGGAATAAATTCCCCAATTCAGTGTGTATTTGAGTGTTTCTGATGCTAATTTACATCAGTGTAAGTGAGGACTGGAATAGCTGTGTTGGGACTGTGACAATAATACCAATTGGGCTGAGGGAAACTTAAGGTATTGCTTAGATTATTTTCCGATAATAGGGTCCAGAGGCTGGAAATGGAGATCTCTTCCAGATGTCATCTTCCATGTTAAAGCAACTCGTGTGCCTGGAGGCAGCGGTCACAACAACAGCATGTATCTTTGCAAGGCAAGGCTCCAATGTCTCACCCTATTTTTTGCTGTGACATCAGAATGCTGAGGCTTTTGTCTTTGGATTGGACCACTAAAGGTATGATAGTAAAAGCTATGTGCAACACTTCTGAAGCAACTGTTGGTAGCAGTTATTAAATGCGTCTCTGCTAGTTCAGTGTCCTGCAGCTGGCTGCTCTCAAAGCTTGGCAAACTGAAAGATGGTTGGCTTCAGTAGATCACTCGGATGCCTGGCAGGCCTTCCAAAAAAAATTCCCTACTTGCTTTTGTATCTGTCATCAATTCTGAGTATGAGAAGTATTGTGGTGTGGGGTTTTTTGTTTTGTTTTAATGTAGGATGGAGTATGGAAAAAGAAGAATTTTAGTCTTGGAAAATCCAGGTTAAATCTTGCTAATTGTCAAACAAAAACAACAATTGCATTGTCTCATTTTGTCTCAAGCAATTAAGAAGTCAATGAGTCTAATGAAAAAAATTAATTTTTTCTGTGTTTAAAATCTGCACCGTAATACTCTTTATTGGCTTTTATTCTAGATGTGGCATAACCTAAGCATGTTACCAGCACTGCCTTTTTATAGGGACTTCCTTTCAAAATGAGAACAGCCTTTTTAAAACGATCAGAATAGTTCTTGCCTTTAAACAGAGGAAATGCATGCAAACTAACAACCAGCATATTGCTTCAAATGCTCAGCCAGCCAGTCAGGAAAACGAAGATTCAAAGATATTGCTGAAATTAATCACTTAACTGAAAGATTAGACAGCAGTCTTTTTTGTATTCATATTTGTTTTAATATTCTGTTCTTTGAAACTTAATAGATTCTGAAGTGTCTCTAATTTTAGCCTAAATTTACAGAACAATCCCAACAGTATTTCACTACTCAGATGCTTCTTATTGTAATACGTAATTGAAGTCTGGGACTCTAAAAGGCAAAACATATTATTTCCATACAGCTTTCATGTCCAAACCATAATTTCATTGTTTTCATTTTGGGCCTTTTCTCTTCTTGCTCACACATGCGCTTTTCCTTAGCCCAGCAGGCAAGGTCTGGCAAACAGCTTCACAAAGCAATATGCCCAACAAACCTCCCTTAAAACCTGAAGCTGGATATGAAACCCTTATTTTGGGACAAAATGTATATATACAGCCAAACTTGCTCCAAACTCTTCAGGATCTGATAAAAGCATTTTCAACTTAATTTTCTTAACTTAGAAATGACTTAATTACATGCTGAATCGGGGCACTGCTCCTCAGACATCCTTCTCCCTTCCACGCTCAGAGGCCTGGTCGGTTAAACTCTGTCCCTCTGTAACAGCGCAGTCACTGTCCCACCTGCTCCACCTCTGTGGTCTGCAGATCCTGTTACTGTGCATCCCAAGAAAAGCTTTTATAATATAGCTGGTTAAACAAAAATATGTTTTAAAGCAAGGCAGAAACATAGAGAAATACACAGTCCGTTACTTACCCCACACTAAGCAAACTGTTGAGGCATTCTTGACAAGTTAATGTTTTATTTTCTTCTGTCACTTAAAGTTACCCTCTCTAATTAAAAAAAAGTGTCCTTTATCTTTGCTTTCCAAGCTGCTACACTTCTCACTTCAAGTGGGAAAAAAAACCGGAAAAAAACAAAAAAAAAAGTTTCTTGTTGGTTCATGTTACAACCTCCCAGTGTCAATCATGTAGGCTGAGACCAGGGAAGGGGTGTGGGGGGGGAAAGGCACATGCTGCCGCCTTTTAACTTGCCAGCCTGCTGTTCCTGTCCATCCTTAGCTAGCCCCAGAGCTGTAGACACTTACCTCTGTCCTGTAATGCTAGCCTCGAAGTGAAAGAACCGAAAATGAGTTCAGTCCTATTCCACAACCTCTGTGAAGCTTTGGCGGAGAAAAGGGTGAGCGCTAGATTATCAGGCACAAACATGCTCCAACTGCCATCTTCGTTCCAACCGCTTAATTTTGCTGCTTTTTTTTTTCTTCTCTAAAACAGGAAATGTATAAGCCACAGTGCCTAACCCTGGTTCCTGTCTCTGCTCTGAGTTTGTAGCATAGGAGAAAATGCTGCTAGGTGCAAGGCAGTGCTGGGGCCTGGCTCAGTATGAGATTTGGGTTATGTTGTGATGCGAGAGGCTGCAATTTCACTGTTAGGGCCAGCAACTACCTTCTGGGCTATCTTTCTTTATCAGTCTCTGACACTCTGAGGTTGAGTGCTGGTGCAAGGAGTTGTTTGTGGCGCATCGTGACTGAATCTTTCCAAGCTGCTTTGAGTAAAGAATGCAGACTTAGGGAAGTACAGTAATGCTATTATTTTAAGGCTTCTTGTAGATTGGAAAAAGTGTATTTTAGCAGCTGAGGAAAGGTCACGAATGGCAGAAATTCATCAAGGTCTTTACAGAGAAGTGAAAGCTGTGTTAATGCAAATCATGTAGAGAGGTTGGTTTAACCAGCTGTGCACTGGTAAAGGTTGTTTGTATATTCATGTGGAAGAGGAGCAACAATAAAAGTATATTATAAAGTAATATGAGATTTCTTTTCTAAAGACCAACCTAGAATGGGTACATGACCAAAAAAATCCAATTCAAAGACCCTCTTGTATAGCTTTGTCTGTGAGGTTCATGCAGTTCAGCCTAAATCCCTATTTGGAATGAACTGAGGCCCCTTTCCCCTTTGCTTATTAACCATGTGGCTCCCCTTTATAATCCTGTTCCCCATGCCCCCAATCTAAATCTTTTTTGTTAATTTTTTAATATAGCTTTGACCAGGTCACTAAGGTATTAAATTTTTCAGTCAAGCTCCTATGAGTCTCCTTGTCTTTCCTGCAGGAACACTGGAGTATGGCTTGTGGGTTCAGCTCTTTCACGTTAATTGCCTTTTACTTAATCCCTTCTTCTGTGACAGGGATGTGATAAAATGAAGGGAAAATATACGGCAAAAGCATATACAAATATCAGAAGGCCCAGGATCCTAGTTTGTATACTTCTCAAAACATTTTAAGTTTTAATGACTTGCAGGTTTTCTAGTGAGGGAATAGTTTCTAGACGTTGAACTGCAGTAAGGCACAAAGCTTAACTTTATTCAGGCTGGAGTGGCCAAAAAAAAAAAAAAAAAAACATCCACTGATAGGGAAATTCTGCTGTCAGTACACTTTTCTGAATTGTTTATTGATCAGAAAAAGCTAGTTACAAGAATTTGTTACTAAAACAGACATTTGCATGCTGTGTCATAGATTTCTGATATGCCTTCTCTTAAATTGACAGCTTTGAGGAGGCCCTGTGTTCCCCGGCCATGTTGCTTTCAGAAAAGGTCCATGCGCAACATCATAGGGCGGGATTTTTTTTTTTTTAAACATCTGTATGAGTGGGGACACAACTGCTCAGATGTATCACTGTGAAGCCACTCTGGTGACATAGCAAACAGCACCCAGAATAGCTGGATTAATACCAAAATCGTGTGTCCTGCACAATGTTCCGCTGTGTTCCTGTGGCCTCATGCTGACATGCTTGCTGCCTTAGGAGGATCCACTGTGTCCTATAGCTACATTTTTTTGATATTTTCCACTTTAAACTTGTTTCTTATGAGAGAATCAAGGAAGTCTGGAGCCCAGTCTCGAAGGAAGAGCAGACTCCTCATGGTTGAGTATGGATAGTATAGCTCTCGCTGGCGCAGTGCTCCGCTCTTGATGATCTCCAGCGCGCACTCCTCCTTTGGTGCGGCTGTCCCACGAATCGCATGGGGAATGGTTTTCATAGCACTTTCTAGAGAGAGGAGAGCAAGAAAAAGTGATGTCAGATGGAGGGAGGCTGCAACAGGTACTAGAGGCTCAAAGTTCAGAGGTATCCATGGCTTCATTTAACAAACTAATAGAAATGCTGGGGATCAGGTTTATTTCCTAAAGTTTAGAATATGTACAAAATTACAGTAATATCCTTCCCATGCCTTTCCAACTCTCAACTAATTCTAGAACCAAATCCCCATCTCCCCTGAGTTTATTACAAGGATAGTTGAGTCAAAGGTCTGGGACCGCTTTTTTTTTTTTTTTTTTAAATATTGAGCTCCTGTTTCCAAAATTGTGCCGCCACTTAAGGGCTGAGGTTTCAGCAGTGCTGGGGAAGTAGAATACTGGCAGATCTGGAGTGCTTTCTTCTGTCTAAAATGCCTTTTCTGACTTAGCAATGGGTGTGCACAGCTCCTAAATAGTGAGGCCTAGATAAATGTCAAACTTACCAGTATCAATGAGGCCCAGGACACAGAGTGTGATGGAAACATTGACATTGTCAGTGATGAATTCCTGTCGCAAGGAGCTGAAAAATCCATCTAAGGCAAACTTGGTTGCAGAATAGGGAGCAATAAATGGTATGCCAACTTTACCTGGGATGGGAGGCAGAACGTCAGTGTTCACATATTGCACCAGAGTACTGTCCTTGGAGTAGCTAAAATATTTAGATTTAGAGTGACTAAGTGATCTATTCTGAGTGCTTGAGAGAAATAAATATATGAAAGGATGTTTAAAATGAGGAGGAGAGAAACAAAAGTTTTCCTAACTTAATTTTCCTGTAGCATGTGACATATAGTGACATGAAGTACATTCAGTTGTAGGTGATACTGTTCTTCCGTTCCTGCATTACGCATCCATGTGTAGCAAATGCATAATAAATGGCCATGCACATAAATAACATGCAGTGGCATACCATCAACTGTAATGCATAGTATTTTTCTTAGTTTGAAAGTTAGATTTAATGCTGAAGGTATGCTGCTGTGATAGGCCCATCAGTTTTGTGTAGTCCTTGGCCTTTATCAGAGAATGCTTTCAAGGCAGGTTTTGTTGCTTTGATGTTAAGAAAGAACCGACGTATAACATCTGTCTTCAGCATTTGCTATCGCTGCTTAGCAAGATGTGGGTTTTAGCAGCCCCTCCCTGAACTTCCTGTCTCTGGGCTTAGAGGTACAGCTCCAGCTGTGCACCCTTCATGGATGCCTGTGGAGCTGCAGGAAAGAGAGATGACTTGCATAGTTTTTAATCTTCTCATCCCAGGTTTTGGCAGGAAGTTCAGCTAACTGCAAACATAGGACCTCAGGAGTGTGTATCCCTCCTTCATGGAGAAGACAGTGGGTAGGTTGAGGAAGAATGGGGTGTAAACTATAAGTTTTCCAGATGACTTAACTTGCACACTGGGTGCACAATATATACAGATTCCAATCCCAGCCAGATAACTTCCTGCCTTATGGTCCTTATTCCCTCCTTTGAGGAAAAGCTGCAGATGGGATCCCTTGCAGGCAGTGGAAGAGGCTTAAAATCGGAGAAGAGCGTGGCACTGGCTGCCCTGGGACTCCCTAGCCTGTCTCGTGCTCACCTGCCATGGATGAAACGACAACAATGCTGCCATTGCTGCTCTTTAGCATTGGTAGGGCAGAAACAGTCATGGCCACGTAGCTGAGGAAGTTGGTCTCTAGGAGCTTTCGTATGTGTCCGACATCCCCATTGAAGTAATTGAGATAGCTGTGACCGACGTGGTTTAAGATAACCATGTCAAGGCCTCCTGGAAGCAGAACATGTTTGTTATGGGCAACTTGCATCCTCAAAACAAAAGCCTTTACTTGTTGGCTAGAACACCTTGAAACATAACTTGAGCAAGGGGGGTGTTGGAGGTTAATGAGGAAAAGGCAGATCCCACCACATACCCCAGGCTGTCTCAGCCTCTTTCACCACCTCCTTGGCAAATGCTGTTTTCTCCATGCTGCCACTCACATAGCGAGCAGATGCTGCACCCAGCTTGAGGCAACGCTCCACAACCTGTGACGGCAGTGAGAACAGTGTTAGACACAGGTACTCCTGTGTCAGCTCCCAGCATCCTGCAAATGCTGTAAGCTGTCTTTTGGGCCAGATAGGAAGAGCATGTCTTTCTGCCCATTGGTAACTGTTTTGACTTCATGGGAGGAGATGTATTGCTCATATAATTGTTTCTGGCTGCAATGAGTTAAACAGTGGCACATCTGAGCCAAATATTTAGTGTTTATAGAAGATACTGAAAAGGGATATGACTGCTTAGTTGATTCTGTTGCATACTGGGAACCAAAACAATTCAGACTTTGACAACCATAAGGGTTGATCAGACCAAGATCTGGGCAGCCTAGTATTGTCCTTGGTGGTGATCAGCGTCTAAAACTGCAGACTGTGGAGAAAAATGCTGTGCTGTCAGCATTGAAAATACAATCTAAAATGGTGTGAGGAGTTCCCCAGGTTCATGCTGGGGAAAATGGAACAGCGAATCTCTATGGTATCTGGCATCCTCATGTGCTCTGGATAGGGTGAACATCCATGCACTTTTTACCTGTGGGATTCTGGATTGTAAAACTTAGTCTACTTGATGTTATGGTGGCTGGGCACCTTGGGAGTGCTCTGTTTTGCATTTACTTTCTGCAACTTGGCCTCCGTCCGTGCTGTGATCAGGATATGGGACCTCATGCGTGCCAGGTGATAAGCCATCTGCTCTCCGATTCCACTGCTGGCGCCTGTGATGATGACCCGTTTCCCTCTGAGCATCTCTAGAGAGTAGGACACAGCATCAGACCCCTAGTGCAGGCCCATGCTGTGCCTGGCAGCCCCATGAGCCAGAGTGTTAGTTCTCCAAAGCCCTTGAGAGCAGAGTCTCCTCTCAGCCTATTTCACCTTTGTTCCCAGATAAAGGGATCAGGGAAGCTACACGCAGAAACACTGCACTACTGTAACATGCAGCTGCTCTCACAAACCCAGAGTGGAATTTGCTCCTTAATCCTTGTCTGAACTGGAGTGCACGAGAGATCTAAGCTCTGCGGTCCATTCTGTGAGTAAATTTAAAAAATGACTAGGGTTTGACTAAGGAAAGGATTAAACATTTAAAATGGATAAATGCATATTTTCAGACAAATTCATTTGCTGAAATCAAACACTTACCATGTGATCCTAGCAGAGCCCAACCGAAATCCTGTGAGTTTCTCCTAGATGGTGCAGCATGCTCTGAACAGTTGCACTGTGCTATTGCCTTTGCCAAAATTCCCCTTGACAAGCTCTCATCCATCCTTTGTATTAGGAGGTTTACCAGCTGCATTTTGAAAGGACCATCAAATTGCACATGTTTTTCTTTATAGAGCCGCGCTGCTACTCTGACGATAGCCTTGCTGACTGTGGTTTTAAAGCATGCTTTTTTTTTTTTTTTTTAAGTGACTTACCTTCTTTGAAATTCTCAGATGCTGAGTAAAAATAAAAGGCCAGCAGCACTCCCAGCAAGGGAATGAAAATCTTCAGTAACAGCCCCATCTCTCTGCCAAAATACAGGCAAGAAATAAACTCTGCGGATCTGATCACAGAGGTGGAGTGGTAGATGTGTTGGTAGGGTGAAAATTGGGCTGCAAGTGAAAGCAGTTTTTAAATTGACTTTTGTCTTGCCTAAGTCTGACTGTTGATATACCTATTGGACCTTTTCTTTGCACTTCCTGTAATTCAGCAAACATTAACGTAAGGGAGAACGTCACTTTGGACTATATGCTGTCCCTTGGCACCCTTTTCCCACCATGAATTTCAGGCATATTTTCTGAGACTGTTGAAGGGAAGACACTAAAAAGCCTCTTGGCCTGATGGAGAAGTAGGCTTGTTGTTAAGTGACTGCCTTTGGAGCTGGGAGACCTGTTAATGCAGGCTTCCTTTCTGCCGCTTCTTCAGGTGCGAGACAGAGGCAATGCTTCACTTCCTCACTGGGTGCCGCAAAGGTTTATTAATTGGAGATAATCACCATGATACAAGTTCATATGAATATTCAGAAAGAACAGTGTTGGCAAAGTTTGTGTTTTTAGATCCTTATCGTTATTTTCAGCTTATCTTATTTGATATCACCATTTGTTATACCTAAAAACATACTATGTCTTGAGGAATCCACTGAGGCTGGTTGCAAAAGGCAATAACAGTGCCAAATGAGTTTATAATAAAAACCTTTAGTTTCTACAGATTTGGTGTGTCAAACTGCTAGGCATCTGTCTGGGCAGATGGAGAAGTAATTTGCAAATAATTCTCAAGGAGAGAGCCTAAAGGACAGGTTACTGCAGGAGATCTCAGGATAAGGCAAAAAGATATGTTGTTGGGGTTGTAGTGTGCATTCCTAATTTTCTTTAGAAAGTGAGTAGCAAAGTGATTCTCGGGAGTACTTCCAGTGGGAAGTTTTTGAGGGGAGGCTTCTCACTACTTCATTTCAGAACAGGTAACGGCTTGAAGGGCAGGTACTAGTTTTGTCGAGGATGCATCAGCACTGCCAAGATTATTGCCAAATAGCCGTAGCTGCATTAGATGTAAATGCAGCAGCTTGGGAGCTGCTGCTGGAGGAAGTGAAGTAGCATAAAGCTTGCTGCTGGCTTGATGCTTAGGTTTTGCATTTAGTGTCTATTGCTTCCAGTGCCTGAGCTCATGGCTTATAATGGCAATACTGCAGCTCTGCTCTGTGTATCTAGAAGACATTTTGCTTTTATGATATTTCTGTAAGAAATGGTAATCCTGACAAAAAGCTATGTGGAAAAGCCTTCATTTAAGTCAGAAACTAAGTTTAAAAAATAGACTAAAAAGACAAAAAGACTAAAAAGACTAAAAGACTAAAATAGACTAAAAAGACATTTCAGTTATTCCTGAAATGAAATAATAACTGATTATTGCAAGAATTCAACTTTCCTGTGAAAGACAAATCAATGCAATTATGCCTATTCACAGCAGCATTTGTAATGGAGAAGGGTGGGGGGAACACAGAACACACAAGACTGTAAGGTTAGTGGATTTTATTTAGTAATTAATGTTACTAGTTTTCCATAGTTTGGGGGAAGGGAATGGGTCTAACCAGATGGGATGTTGCAGCTGCAGGAAATTCCTCTCCTTCACGTCATGTACCACAGCACATGTTGTGTCAACCAGATCCTTTAGAGATGATGTGATTTACTTAAAATAATTAAACTTTTTAAAACACAAAGTGAAATTTCTAATCTGTGGACTGTCCTAATGTATACCGTTCTTCAGTAAAATAATCTGTCTGCTGCAAATATTGTATCTACCAGCAGAGGAGGCAATTGGACAGAATAAACCTTCCTAAACTGGCAAATTTAAAGACCTCTTCTCCCATAATTGGAACTGTTAGATGAGCCACAGGCGCTTAGTTTCTTTATTTAAAAATGCTCCTGGAAGGCAGTGTTGGAGGGGGTGGTTAGCCCTTATTTCTATTTAAATGCAGAAGCATCAGTGCTAGTTAAGGAGAACTGAGAGTAGGGAATGCAAAGCTGGGATCCAAACCAGCAGATGAAGGTGCAGCGTTCCACCCACGCTGGGAGCAGGAAGCTCTTCACACGTTGCTGTGCAGAGCTGTAAAACACTGGAGGATCCAGCATCGCATTCCCTAGGCACAAGGGGAGCCTGAGCTGAGATGCTCTGTGTAGCCCTTGGCACTGGTTAAAGTAGCATAGAGACATAGGATAAGAGGAAAAGTGCTGGAGGATGGTTTAGTTTTTCTTCAAATTCTCCACATTGTAGCGCTTCCTGACCAGATAATCTAGGAACTCTGCAGCCCAGTCCCGGATCAGGAGGGGTATTTTGGTAGAAGCATATTTGTAATAAACTTCCCGTTGCCGGAGAGCTCCCCCCTTGATGATTTCCAGCGCACACTCTTCTTTGGGTGCTGGGGACATCAGGACCACATCAGCAGCGGCTTTCATGGCACTTTCTAGCCCAGGAGAATAAAAGAAATTTCAGTGAGGTTTGGACTGCCCTCTGCAAATAGCCTGACTATAAGGATTGGTTAGGTATTGTTTAAGAGTTAGTTATCATCAGTTTAGCCTTCTGTGAGCTCAACTCTTGGAAGAGTTGTGTGCTATAGGGCTTCTTCATGTCATGTACAGTATGCAGCAGCTAGGGACCTCAGTAAGACTAGAGCAGGACTCTCTCTGTTCTCAGCCTTCTATGCATACAGTCCTTTCCCTGAAGAGTTCAACTTATGATGAGCAATGTGAAGGGTTGAGGAAGACCGTGTTGTTTAATTGATGAGAATGCAGGTGGTATAACTTGTAAAATAATTTATTAAAATTAGACATATCAGTATACATTTGAAAAGAGGCAATTTTGTGAGGCTAAAAATAATTTGCTGTCTGTTTCCAGTGCATGTAGAATTTTTCAGGCTGCTCTAATACATGCACTTGCATTCACATAACTTATCATTGTATCAATACATGAGAATAATGGGAGATATGCAGCTGGCACAAAGGCTTATACTCATTGAATATCAGGCTGTATCAGTCATTATGCAGTGGTTGATTTTTCTGTAGCAGTTGGTGAAGAAATTAGTTTTGAGACTCTTTGGGAGAGAAATAGTGTCCTTCAGAGCAGATGAGAGTATTTTTTATGCATTCACAGTATTTGGGGGGGGTTCGTTAGAACAGAAGCAACAGAGGTGGAAGGGAGGGTCAGTGGTGAAGGGACTTTAGGGTAGGATAAAAAGCTTAGTGTGATGTTCCGTTCCTAATCAGCCAGATCAAACAGCACTGATCTTACCAGTATTAATGAAGCCAAGGACGCAGAGTGTGATGGAAACATTAACACTCTGAATGCTGAATTCCTGCCTCAGGGAGCTGAAAAATCCATCCAAGGCAAACTTAGTTGCAGAATAGGGAACAGTAAATGGAAACCCAACTTTACCTAGACACAGAGTTAAGTTCCATTATAGCACAGAAAGCTGCACTGCATGAACCTCTGTTTTATTCTTCCTCAGATAAAGTATTTTACCCAAAGGGAATTTACTGTTAGTGAAATGTTGTCCTGGCACCTAAGTAACTGAGAATTACAAAGTATTCTCATCTGCTTCCAGCTCTCTTGAGGTCTTAAGTCCAACAGCATGTCTCATGTCTCTGCTCAGTATGAGCAACAGGCAGTAACTATGAAACTCTCAGAGAGGAGAGGCAGAGCAAAGTTTAATCCCTTTTTTCTCTGGATACTAAATTAAGTTCATCACCAAAAGAGTAACCAACATACTGGCTGTGAGATGGAGACATCTGTTATTAATTCAGTTTCCTGACTAACAGAAGCTTATTAGAATAGAGTCATGTTTTTGTGTCAATAACTGACTCTACAAATATGAAGATCTTGACCTACCACATCAAGATGAATGATCAGTCAGAAAGCCAACACAATGAGAAATGAATGTATTTCCACTTTTCTCCATAAAACTGGAGGTGTACTAGCTCTGCTGATCTATTGAGCCTAGATACTAAGATGTGGGGTTTAATCATTTCCAAGGAACATGGCTAGTCAGAAATCAAGCTGGAGCAATTAGATACCATCAGAGAACAAATGCCACTGAGAAAATTCAAAAAAAAAAAAAAAGATCTTTTTAAAAAAATTTTTGGTTTGTGTGTTAAGCAGTTACGAGACTATTAATATGCCTGGGGGTCTGTGCATGCTTGTCGCTTATGAAAATCAGCCCGTGTTGTCTTTTGACTAAATCTCATTTAACCTACCTTGCTCCACACTCACCTGCCATGGATGAAACTACTACAATGCTTCCCCCGCTCTCCTTCAGCATAGGCAGAGCAGAGACTGTCATAGCTACATAGCTGAGGAAGTTAATTTGCAGGAGCTTCTGTACGTGCCCAACATCCCCATCGAAATAACTGAAGTACGACTTGCCAATGTGATTAAGAATCAGCATGTCTAACCCTCCTGAAAGCAGAGGAGCAGGCATTAATGTTGGGTAGGAGAAGACTAAAACCAGAAGAACAGAGGCAATCCTTGGAGAACAATAACTAAAATAATTTTAAAAATCAGCTTTTTGGGTCAGAGCTGTGGCCTATCATTTTGGAACAGGGACAGTCCAGACAGTGGCTGGCAGTAAAAATGTACGTGGCTTATTTCGCTTCTCCTAGACAAGAGAGCTGCAAAAAACATTCTTCGTTGTGATTTGGTTTTTGTATTTTGAACCAGAAAAACAAACAAATAACATGACACAAGGGAGATCACCCCTGAGTTGTCTGTGGGCCAAGGGTGGGAGGAGTGGTGCTCCAAATTGAGCTGAAATACTGCATTTCTGTAGCGATGACCCATGACCAGAATAGCAAGGTTGCTACAGAGCTGATTGACAGCTTCAGCCACGGTAGCTGGTGGTGATGAAATCCAGGATTATGACACTGGAACAGGATGTTACGAGGGCACAGAGATGAAATCAAGAGGGCAATTTGGACTGAGCTAGACTGATAAAGATTGGAAAGAGGGCCTGGAGCAGCACTGGGAGCCACAGAACAGGATGCAAAGAGGAGAATTAAGGAAAATATTTCTCGTCCCATCCAGTCACTGTTGTTGCTTTTTTTTTTTCAGTCACTGTTTTTTTGAGAGCAAACCATAAACTTACCCATTAAATTCTCTGCCTCCTTCACAACGTGCTCAGCGAATGCCATGTCCTCCATGCTGCCGCTCACAAGCTGCGCAGAGGCTGCCCCCAGCTTAAGGCACCGTTCAACAACCTGGGACACACCAACGGGACACCTCAAACCTATTTTCCTGTAGCAGGAAGTCTGCTGCTGTACAGCTCTAAAAGAGGCACTAAAAGAGGATATCTGTGCTTGTTGTAATGTGTCCCTGACTTAAAAGCAGCAGTCTGGAGTTTCTGAGAGCGTGTTTGGAGCCTCTTAAGTGTTAAAGGGAGCCTGGAAAATTATTCCTTTGATAAATGCGTTACCCAATGCAGTCTGTCTCTTATTGGTGCAGTCTGCAATGGAATTACGTGCATGTGAGGTGAGCGGGAGTGTATATATCATTGCAGTGGAATGAGGGTGTGTGTGTGTGCGCTGGTGCAGAATGTATACATGGGAATATATGTATGTAACTAGGCAAGTTTAAATGTTACAGCATGTGTTACGTAGAATGCACGTATCTGATTTTTGTGCATGTGGAAGCCCCAGATAGCATGAATATGCGTACCCATGAATATAAATACGCGTATTTGGTATTTGTGCCATGATAATTATGTGTGCATGTATGTGTGCATATATGTGTGATATGAGATTGGCCGCCTTATGTTTGTGTGTGCACCGCCATGAACATGCATGTATGAGTGCTTAGCTTGCCATTTACTTTCTGTAGCTTGGCCTCTGTCCGTGCTGTGACCAAAATATGGGATCCCATCCGTGCCAGGTGATAAGCCATCTGCTCTCCAATTCCAGTGCTTGCTCCAGTGACAATCACTCGCTTCCCTTTCAGCATCTCTGGAGACCAAGGCACAGGGATTTAATTTATCCAAACCCTACAAAAAAAATCTCCTGATGCCTCTGAGAGCACTTAACTGCAAGCTAAATGGGTCTGTTAAGTGCCGAGCCTCTCATTCTGCCCTGCACCAGGATATCTCTTCCTTCGCCTGGGAAAAACTGCAAAAAGGAGCAGCTGCAGTTCCTAATGTGAATGCAATAATGCAGGAACAGTTCTTGACTCTTTCAACTATTTTTTCACAAATTGGGACACAGCTTAAAAACATCCTATCTATTTTGTAATAAAAAACCCCACAAAATACATTTTTCAGAATGTTAAATCAACACTTTAAAATCATTTGTCATTATTTTGTTACACATCTCAAAATGGAGCACTAAAAGCCCTCTCCATTTCAGAAACCTTCTACCTCACCTGATCCCTCAGTAACTATTTCTGCATGTTACTTGCTTGATTCAATTTCAAATCTTTGCTAAAACAATGTTCCATTATCAACAGTGCTACAAATGCTCAGACACGATTTGTTTCAAGCTCTGTACAGTTTCTATGTAAAACATTTAAATGTGGCTTTTAATATATTTTATTAAAGACAGATTCACTTTTAATACTTACCGGGTTTGAAATTCTCCCTCGCAGAATAAAAACAGAAGGCCAAGACCAATCCCAAAAAGGGAATGAGACTCTTTTGCAACCGACCCATCCCACTGTAGAGTCAGGAAATAAAGCATGAAAGAGAAGGGAGGAAAAAAAAAAAAACCTCTGCAGAGCTGCTCCAGAAAGAAGCAGCAATGCCAGTCCTTTAAAACCTGTTAGCGAAGGAGCTGCAACTTCCAAAGCACTGGAAAAATCACAGTTGGATTGATAAACGTGGCAAAACCTCTGATTTGCTCCTCACTGGAGCTGGTGAACCTCGGCCTAACTGACGGTGTTGCTTTGGGTCCTGCCTGGCTCTTTTCATATTTCCTGTCCCTATGTTAAAATGCAGAATTTTGCACAACACCCTGGAAGAGGTGTGTCTTTGCAGAACAGCATCAAGTTTCACTTAGAGAACATCAGAGCAGGCTACTGCAGGTGCTTAAAAATCATATTTTATTCCCACTGGTCTGCTAATCACTGATACTGTACTCCTATACTTTGTGGGTACATACTAAGATACAATCCCTGCCTGATTACTACTTAAAGTGTCGCTGCAGGTCAGATGCAGGGAAGGCAACCTGAGCTAGATGCAATGTGACCCGAGAGGGATGAGCTGCAGGTTGCTGCGTTCCCACCAGCACTGCTGCTGCTGTGCACTCAAAGGCCCTTGACAGCTGCTTGTCATCAGGATGCTGTGCTGCAGGAGGCACTGGAGTGGGGCCCCGGATGTACATACTACCCCAGATAGTTCAGAAAATGTTTTCCTGACCCAGTGTCCCCCCCCCTAAATCTACTTATGTGAACAGATGGTGACAATAGAGAGAGCAGGGATTGAGAGGGCCGAGCTGAACTCCCCCGAAGGAGTGCAACTGCTCCAGCTCCACAGGGCTATGAGGCAGAGAGGAGGTTTGCAGTGAAACACTGAATATTCTGGGCTCTTTCTGTGAGGAAAGGTCCTTGCTCCTATGCCTCCTGTTATGAGTTTTTTCAGGAGTTTCTCACTTATTTTTTTAAGTGAATATAGTCCCAAAAAAATCCAGTAACATCCACTTTCTCACCATGTTTAGGCAGCAGGAAATTGGATGTCATAAGATCTTATATAATAGGTGAGAATTACTTACCAGTGTAGGTCTGGTGCTGTGATCTTCATCATACAGAGTAGTACGTCTTATTATCTGTCATGGTACTTATGGATTGTGGGACTCTTGTGGAAATTAATTTGCTACTGAAATTACCTTGCTAGATCCTGTGCTTTCTCAACATGGGGAAGAACTGTATTTACAAGGCCAAGAGTCTCATCTGCAGCGCAGGGAGCAGTAGCTGCAACGTGGTTTAATTTGCATAGGCACGAAGCAGTGGTTGTCTGTCTCTCAGGCTGACTGTGTCCCCTAAAGTTACCCAGGCATCACAGATCTTAAGAAATGTTGAGTGTATCGTCCTTCTCCTGGCAAAACCAACTGGCTAAAAATACTTTGCCTCCCCCATACATTGCAGTCCTACAACTGGCTGAGGAAGGCTGCTTTGGAGTAACTCTTCCATAGTAAAGTAGAGTTGCTGTGCAGTGCAGCCAGGCATGCACAGACCCCTCCACTATAATGAGCCAGAAAGAATTATTTAAAATACGTTTTTCTCAATTGCAGCTTTAAAATAAAGATGATTTTATTTAATAACATACTTGATAGGGCAGTGTGGCTGTCTCTGGCATTGCTCCTGCCAGAGATCCCCCACCCCTCATTTCTGCTTCATCCTCAACTTTCCCCCTTTGATAAGAAGCAGTTAACCTACATTTGGTCAGATAACACTGTTTCAGGAACCCTGCCATTTCCCAGTCTCTTTGCTTTAAACATCAGTCATGCTCGTGGAGTGGCCATTTCATTCTTTGGGTTGAAAAACTGAAATAATTAACCCTACTTCAGCTGTGATCTCATCTGCGTTGTGGGTAGGAAGAGAGGCTCTTCTAAGATACTGCTGGTTATTATGAGCATTAGGATATTGTAATAAAGCAGTAACTCTCAACCTTTGTGCACTGTCTGCATGTGTGTCGTGAAGGTAAAGTGCTCTGAGCAACGACATACTTTGCACTCCAGTCACCTCTGTGAAAAGTAGGACCTGAGGCAAATGAGTGGGTATCAAGCAAAACACTGTACTCACTGAGGGACTGAGCATTACCTATATGGAGTTTTTATTCAGAACTGTTTATTTTTGTCTGAGCCTTTGGAAAACAAAGGAAAAAAAACATTTAAATCAGCTGAGATACTGAACTCCACGTGAGGCAACATATTGTATGTTTGTTTTGGACATCGTTTAAACTTTTTATAAATGATATTTCATGAATATGCCATTTTAGTGTGTTCTGTGTTCAGATGAAGTGAGGGAAAGATTCTGCTGGCGTCTCCTGGTGGGAGATGCAGTGGCAACAGAGAAGCAGGCCAAAGGACCACACTTCACTGCGTGCTCCCTGCTGTGGATTTTCACTGTCTCCTGTTACCCTTCCAGGGCTTTGCTTCTCCTTACTCCCACTCACAGCTTTTTCTGGTTTTATTTTGCATCATGCAAATTAAGAACTTGTTTTCATCTTCAGGGTGGGTGGGGAGAGGAGAGCAGGAGGACAGCAGTTCAGAGGCATGGCCTGGCAGGTGAGATGGGGTAGATTGCAGCAGGGCCAGCCACAACCAAAGTGGGTCCAGTCAGAGCTGCGTTGTTGTGTTACTCCTAATAACAAACTTTACAGAGACATGGGGGAGCATAGCCAGGCAGCAGCAACTAACTGCTCTGAACTTAAGCAAACAAGCAAAGATTCATAATCTATGCACTGGCAGCAAGAAGAAGCTGTTACTCTGAGACAGTTTCATCTAAATTATGCTGGATGAAATCCCCCCTGCCGCAGGTCACTTCTGTATCACTTGTCTGCTTTAAACCCTATTTCTCAGAGGTGTGATGATTGGGTGCTGTACTAACTGCTCTGCACAGATAAAGCTGTTCATTTAGTGCAATCCACAGCTCACTTGAAAGGAATGAATACATGAAAGAAATTTGTTCTGACAGCAAATTGGCAGAGCAGCAAATAGCTGCTGGAGAGTCCCTCCCATCCATTGCAACAAGGCGCAGCATGGCAAGAGTATGTTGCACAGACAGGGAAGGGTTTTAGGCAAGTTTGTGCATGCAAGTCAAACTTGGGGATTCAAAAGCACTTGGCAGAAATTAAAATACCATTTGATTTTCCTCTTTAGTTTCTTTTCCATTCCATTATCAAACCTCTTTGCTAAATGCAGAAGATTTTTCTCTTTTTCTGCTTTTCTTTTCTTTATGATGAAAACAACAATACACTCTTTCTCATACCTAACTCTCCCAAAGTACTTTACCATGAGCACAGGTATAATTCCTTCTTTAAAGATAGGAATTTCCACATTATAAAGAGTGGCCCTCAATGATAATTGTGTTGGGCAGATGTGCATATCAACATGAACTGTTAAGCTATGACCAACTTTTGTCTTTTCGTGCCCTGATGCATGCAGCTTCATCCTGGCTCCTGAAAACAGTATGCAGGAAATACCTACATCCTGCAAATGCCATTGCTATTGCAGCTGCAATCCTGAAAAATACACTCTGAACTCCCAGTAGCAGTAGTAAATTTGGTTTGACTCAATGTTTCTGTTTGCTGCCAGTTTAACAAAAATATAGCAATGTTTAAGTTACTTTGAAACATTGGATTTATTTTTTCCTGTGTAACCAAATCAGAAATTGCTTCCTTGGTATTTTATTGTTGGTACTGTGACTGTGGTTGCTTTGAGTCTTGGCCACTAGCCATGTTCCCAGTGCCCTTGGTGTTGGATGGGGGAAGAGAGGAGGGAGAGGCTGATACGTTTATCTGGACCCCTAAATTTAGCTTAGCAGCTTTTGAAATATGCAGATTCCGAACCACAAATAGCAAGCAAGGACTTTCTAAAGACATTCAGCTCATGCCCTTGAAGTGCCTTGAAGGGCTTATGCCCTCCATGAAGTGAAGGAGGATTTTTGCATTTTAGGTAGCATTCAGTTCTGTCATCTTATAAAGGCCTGGACGTGATTATAAGGCCCCAGGTGGTAATAAGATCTTTGAAGAGGTGCTGAAGGATGGCTAGAGGCAAATACACACAAGGCCTCATGCCAGCTGCCATTTTCCTGAGGATGTAACGCACCAGGGAACTTTCAGTTTTACAGGTTAGAGTAAACTGAATTCAGATAAGTCATGAAAGAAACAGAATAATAGAAATCAAACCCTCATGACATCCAGTGATGTAACTCACGCCTTGGGCTATGTGTAGTTTTAGTACTTTAACCTAACCCAGTCGAAATGTTCTACATGTTTCCACACTCTAGTTTGCCTGAGAAGTCCTTACTAGTACTGATTGTACATCTATTTATTTATTGCACCTGGTTGTTCGCTGGTATATCCCAATACTCAAAATTTCTCTTTGCAATTCACACATGGACCTTTGAAATGCATGTGCCATGCTCCATTGCCTCTCTGTGTGGACACAGTTTACTAATTGCATGTGATTACATTTGTGTAATTTGCACTGGCTGGGATTATCTGCAATTTCTCTCTGGTGTCAATAGTGAAATGGAGGTGTGAGGAGGGCTCTGAAGACAGGCCTGGGAAAAGCAGGCTAGTTGGGAATTCTTGCCATAGTTTAAGGAGAGAGAGGTTTGCTAAAGCCTTTTAACCTACTGCATTGGATGAGTGCTGTCATTCATTGTAGTTAACATGATGATAAATGAACATCCATTGACTTCATCACTGTATGATTTAAGTAAGACTTTACGTGGTCATTATGGTAAAATTGGGCATTAATGCATATCTAATTTGCCACTCTGCAGAAAGCTACTCTTATCTAAAATCAAATGCAAACTGTTGTGGAAACGGTAACGTGTCAGCTTGAGCTCTCAGGTTGAGCTTTGAGCTTACAGTACATCAGGAGGCAGAAGTGTGTGTCCTGGGAGGCATGATTTTACCAGGTTGGCTCTAGAATTGCTGGTACAGTTACAGTTATTTAGTTGTCTAATCCAGTTAGCTGTCCTTAGGAGCTATTTTGATTGTTCCACAAACCTCTTTGCTTTAAGCTTATAAACCCTGTGACCAGATAACTCTGTTGAAAGGAGGTGCAAGGCAGCAGGGCACCAGCATGATAGGAGAAGGCTATTTTACATGGTGCGAAGACAAAAGCAAGGCCCAAGCTTGGAAGGGGATGAGGCCATCCCTGACGGATTCATCTAGAGCTCCTGAATCTGTCCTGCTGGATTTCCCAGCTGTGACAGTCAAGAGCAGCTGTACCTCTTATTTTTCAAGTTTTCCCTCTCTCATAAAACAGGTTAAGAGACCTGTAACTTGTAAAGAAGGGCTAATATTGGGAACTAATGCATGAATGACAGAGTTTGCAGCTGCCTCGGACAAAGACGTGATTCTCACCTGAGTTAAATCAATTTATCGTCTGTTTAGCTCTGCTTGCCACACTAGCGATGCTTCTGAATTATGGTAACGTGGAAGAACTTAAACCTGGGTGGTATTTTCATGTATTCATATAATTATAGATATTTAAGTACCTGGTTTATCTATGCAAGAAGTATACCACGAGGAATAACAGATTAGCTTTCCCTGTACCTGAGTCCATGCTACAAACATATAAAATGGTTCAAGTTGGAATTGTGGGGAACTAGTCAGCTGATTATTTTCTTCAGGCCTGAATGTTCCTCTTCTGTTTGCCATTGAAACTTCTGTTGATATCAGTGAGGTGTTGAATTGTTCCAGTCGTGCAAGAGACCAAAATGCTTGGTTGCAGCCTAAATGAAGTATTTCTCAAAAGCCATTTTTAATTGGACACCGTTCTTTTTCCTATAAAGAAAAGATATTTTACACTTTATTCAAAACTTGAAGATTTTTTGTGCAGACTCACTAGGATTCCTCCTCTACAATGTGCTGCTATTTTTTAACAAAAATAATTGTCAACACAATGAATTACATGGTTATGTATTTTGAAATGTAAGGGTGGACTTCAGCTAGGTTCTTAGATTCTGAGATTGTGGTCTTAAATTTATGCAGCTCTAGGAGGAGCAATGTATTCGACACTAGTTGATACCAGGCAGTGCTTTTTCATTTACCATAATCTCCTGCTGTGTGTAACAATTGTTTTGCTTTTAGCTACATATGGGCATATTGTTGGTACATCTTACCGTTTCTGTGCGAGATAGGAAGCATGCCCCTACCCTCTGGCTCTGCCTTTTGGGATGGATAAAGAGGGATATTTTTCCTTCAGAAGCAGGTAGTGGAGACTGTTTCTCTTCCCTCTATTTTATAGCGTGGTCGGGACCTTTTAGCTACAGTCACCTGAAGAGTTTGTTTAACCAACTTAAATAACACAGTAAGAATCTGTTGTGTTCAGGACTAAGCCCATGAATCATTTTGACAGAGGGAAAGTCCTGTAACAAGTTGAGCACTGCTATGTGGAGCAGTTCAGGACTGGACCTTCTGGGCTGTTTTTGCCCCCCTCCTGGCTTGCTAGGTCATTTCATCTGTCTGTCCTCCCCCTCCCCCATTTGGCCCATTTTGGTTTCAGATGGGAGCAGCTTCTGAAGTTAAGGAAACTCTAAAACTGCTAGTCCCAAAATAGCCCCCCCTGAGTGTCTCTGTTCTAGGGGCCGAGTTACAGCCCTCAGCTGTTTCACTAGGTCAAACCAGCTACTTGCTGAGAGGAGCCAAAGGCTTCTGCAAGAGAATCCTATTTGCAAATCTGTAAAAGGAGAAGAGTTTAAAATGAATTCAGCTAGAGTGTTGGTACCATATAAAATATTTATTGATTTTGCAAAATGTTGTAAATGCATCTGTAAGAAAAATAAGAAACCATGCTGTGCATCTTGCACATTTTTATACCAACAAAAGGTATTTTTTCCTACTGCTGCACAGCAGCAAATATAACCATTCACTACTTTCAAGTCTCACACTTGCAGTCTACTTGTTCGGCCAGTCATTCACTCTTCTTGCTGGAACCACTACCTCCAGATACACCAGGACAGCAGTCTCTCTCTACTTGGTTGATCAGCAGATACCTCTCCAGATGCATGTCTTTTAGGAGGCATGCTGCCTGGTCACCAGGCTCCTTTGCATCATCGTTGGTTTCTTGCTCTTTTCCAAGATCAAATTCTCCTGTTTCTGTTTCATTTGCTCTTGTGTTGGGGCAACTTTCTTCTCTTCCTCCTCCTCTAGCCTCTCTTCAGAGGTAAAAGGACTGCACACTGTCTCTACCAGACCAATAACCACACCAAAGAAAGCCAGCACGCTGCCCAGCATATACAGCTTGACCATTTTCCTGTTGGGCTTCTGGCTGAGCATTTCTTTGGCAAAGGGGATCAGCTCATGCATGGTTTCCATCTTTTGCAGCAGATCTGGAAGATGTTAATCCTACAAAACGAGAGAGGGAGAGAGGTACATTAGTTATAATCTAGCTGCTTTTTCTTAAAGCATGCGGAGTGCCCCACTCAGGCCAAGCCGCCTGCACTACACTCCCAGCCCTGCTGGAATTTAAGTAGGGAATTTAATTTTGGCTGAAAGCTTGCTCCAGCAAGATGCATTTGCCCCAGCTGTCTGGTGACAAGGCAGCTGTAGGAGAGGGACGCAGGCTACCGCAGTGTTCCCTCCACACAGCGGACCACGGGCTCCGGAGCGGAGGGACGCTAGCAGACGGGGAGGTCGGTCTGCCGGGGCCTCCAGTGCTTCCTAGCGCATCCCACCCGGTGCGTCCCAGCGCAACCCACCCCGCCGCTTGCACCTCCTTACCCAGCGCCGGGCGGCTGCTGCG